TAATTATATATATATAGTTAGTTAGTTCTACTTTGTAGTTATATATAATATATATATATATATATATATATTATATTATATATATATATATATATATATATATATACAGATGGATACAGGCTGAAGCGAAACACATATGTCTCGTGTCTCTGATGTGCTCATTCATATGCATAGACGTTTTGAAATATAGCTTGTACTTTTTTATGGGGTGTGTTTACATATTATAAGTATTGCCACTATAACATATACATGTATATACACATGTTTTCATGCATGCGATAAAGACAAGTGTGTCCACCGGAGACGCATCACATTTGTCTGAGTGATCTATGTCGCACACTGCTTGTAGCGAATCATAGTGCGGGCTTGACCTTGGTTTTAGGGTTTAGGGTTTTTCTCTCAAGACGATGTGATCACATTTGTCCGAATGTATATCTTAGTGTGGTATGTCAAGGCAACAGCCCGTCAAACTGTGCAAGTCAGGAGTCTTGTGTTTGTGCGGTAAACGGTTACTGCTGCATACAGGCCGTTGATAAAGCATGCACATGCTTGAGTGTGTATTCATATGACTGCTAGTATATGCGCTCCTTCAGTTGTAATCCACCTATACATACAAACGCTGTCTGAGCGAAGAAGCTATTGCTCCAGTACAGTTTCACGTCAAACAGAAGGCTGTGTTGTGCGATAGGTGCTACTATATACATACTTTGAATGCACATTTTTTTTCTTATAGCGTATCTTCATTTACCTATATATCTTTATATATAATATTGTATTATTTTATTATATATATATTATTATATATATTATATATAAATTTATATATATATTATTGTATAATTATATTAATATTATTGTTCTTATATGTATATATTATATATATATATTTTATTATTATTATTATTAATATTATTTTATTATATATATTATTATATATATTATTATATATATTATATTATTATTATTATTACTATATTATTCTATTATATTATATTTGTATGTGCATTTATTCATACATTTTTTTCTCTCGCACACCGACAGAAGACGTCTCCATGGCTGAGCTAGCCCGCCTGGTGCAGCTGCATGTCAACCTCTCCAAGTCGTTGGAGAACAGTGTAGTGCGCCAAGAAGTGTTGCCGTGTGTATCGCTGGGAGTGTGGACACATGTTACGGATGTACGTCGACAAAAGGAACTGAAGCAGTCGAGTAGGATAGCTAGGCAATGGAAAACCCTTAACAAGAGGTATGTATGCTTGTATGAATCACTATTTATACGCGAGTGTGTGTATGTACACGTGTGTATGTTGATGATGCAAGCATTGATGTATACATTGATATTATATGCATATAAATGAAGTATATGAACCTATATTCATACATGTACATGCGCGTGTATACACGCCTTTTATTTGCGTGTTGTTTATAAATGTATCAGTTGAGTATATATGCATATACAGGTATGACGACGAGGCGTA